GCAGTTTACCCATCACAAAGCTACAATCCCTGCACCAGTGTTATTTTTCTAGAAAGAGGTCACTGTGACCACCAGCCTCATTTTCTTAGAATGGCAATGGCACTCACCAGAGAGGAGCCGGAGCTCAACTGTACTGAGTTCCTGTTGAGTTCCTCCTGAAAAAAGCCCTGCCCAGCACCCTTAACAAATTACAGACCCCAGAATTTGGGGGGCGGGGTGGGGTGGAGTCATGGGTATTTCATGAATGGTGCATACATAGTCTTAAGCTAGAGGAACAAATAGACTGAGCTGATACAAAGCACTTTCTTATATTCCTATGACTATACACATGAGTGAGTGAAGCTCAAACATTAGGTAATTTATAATTGGCTTTTGTATGTTTTACACCTCCCACAGGGGAGGGGGAGAAAGGAGAAGATAGTCTTCTAGTCCTTACTTTATAAGTCTCTTGACTATAGCTGGGGTGGCCAAGTCAGCAAGAAAGAAATCCTGGATGGAAATAAAAGAAAATACAAAAGATGCTTGCTGCAGGTTCCATACACCGTTAACATCAAGGTGGGAAAACATATAGTGCTCTCTCTCTCTCTCTACACCCACACCCCACATACCTACTCGCAATGGAGCATGATCTCATTGCACACTTAGCACTAAGCCTGCTCCATATTGTTCAGTGTCGCCAGCCCAGAGGACCACCAGCTATCCCTATCTGGTTGTCAATGAAACGTGTCAGGAAGGCATTCTCTTGACCTAGCTTCTGAAGGTGATGCTCTCCAAGAACATGCAGCCACTCTGTTCTTTCCTTCCTTCTCCCAATTCACAAAGGGGGCTTTCCTCTCTGACATAAAGCTCCTATCAAAATATTCCATTCACATACTGAAGATAAAAATATGTTAATAAGGTTGATAATAATACAGTGGTACCTCGGGTTAAGTACTTAATTCGTTCCGGAGGTCCGTTCTTAACCTGAAACTGTTCTTAACCTGAAGCACCACTTTAGCTAATGGGGCCCCCTGCTGCTGCGCCGCTGGAGCATGATTTCTGTTCTCAATCTGAAGCAAAATTCTTAACCCGAGGTACTATTTCTGGGTTAGTGGAGTCTGTAACCTGAAGCGTCTGTAACCTGAAGCTTATGTAACCTGAGGTACCACTGTATCGTTTCCGAGCACAATTCAAAGTGTTGGTGCTGACCTTTAAAGCCCTAAACGGCCTCGGTCCAGTATACCTGAAGGAGCGTCTCCACCCCCATCATTCTGCCCGGACACTGAGGTCCAGCACTGAGGGCCTTCTGGCGGTTCCCTCATTGCGAGAAGCAAAGCTACAGGGAACCAGGCAGAGGGCCTTCTTGGTAGTGGCGCCCACCCTGTGGAACGCCCTTCCAGCAGATGTCAAAGCGATAAACAACTACCTGACATTCAGAAGACATCTTAAGGCAGCCCTGTTCAGGGAAGTTTTTAACGTGTGATATTTTACTGTATTTTTGGTTTTTATGGAAGCCGCCCAGAGTGGCTGGGGAGGCCCAGCCAGATGGGCGGGGTATAAATAATAAATAATAATAATAATAATAATAATAATTATTATTATTATTATATACAATGGAGTTTCCAAGGGTCTCCAGAGTAACATTATACAATTTCTGAACCACAGGTAAATCCTGGAATGCTAGCAGCTCTTAACTATAGCTTCTCTCTCATCTCTCCTTATATCCCTTTCTTCCTATTCTGCTCTGGAACAACAGCCCTCTTCTCAATAATCCACATCCCCTTTCTGCCTTCACTTCCCTCATTTTACACTTGTTCAGCAAATAGTGTAGTGGCTTCGGAGCTACAGAAAAATCCCCTTCAAAAAACTCAATTCACTTCCCCCAGACTCTTTTATTATTCTTTTATTATTATTTCCTATTACAGGCAGCAACCATTTTAGGCACATCCAACTGATGCATGATCACCAATGCACAGGAGGCAGCTTAACAGGGGCATAATGGGGGCGAGATGTGCTTATACGCACTCTGCCAACATATGCAGGGGTTGGGAATCGAATCCCCGTGTGAAATGGTCACCGCCTGTATTTATTTAATTTATATCCCACCCTTCCTCCTCAAGGAAAGAACTGATGAAGATATTCTTATTATACCAGATATTTAGAAATTAGTTGAAGTTTTCTTATTGCGGATTTTATTCTATTAATATTAATTTTTTAGTGCTTTAACTGAATGTATTGTATACTAGCAGCCTCATCCAATTTGCTCAGAAATTCCAAGAAACCAAAAAATCAGTAGTTAAAATCAGGCTAGTTATGAAATGTTCAGTCTGTCATTTTGATTCAGAATAACACCCAACTGTATCCAAACACAGAAAGAAACCTGCTCCTTGATCTCAGGAACTATCATGCAAAGTTTGTTTACTATACTTAAGTATGCCCAGTGATATACAGTATAGTAGCTTCTGGCATTTCTAATCTTGCTCAGTACCTTATGATTGTGTGTTGAAAGTCAGCTTAAATACTCTTAAATTATTAGACATAAATTTTACCTAGACCAGCCATTGTCATTAAGTTTTCCCACACCCAAATATTCATTTCTTAATGTCTGTGCTCTTCACATACCCCTACTTGGGCCATCCTAGTAGCGATTAAGCTCTCTAGAAGGGCCATCATCGCTTGTTAGATTCAACACCATGCACTCTTGTAGAATGCAAGATGTGTTAAAGAGCAAAAGTTTTGTACTGTTTCCACACCAAGCATCAGGATGCAGCAGGCTCTGGGATTGGGGTGGGTGGCTGGGAGGAGCAAGCTTCAATATAGAATGAGTTGCACCCAAGAACACATACAATCATTGTAAAACAAAACATCTTCTGTACCAAGGTAGCCCAAGTTACTGGGCCAATAAATGCTATACAGTACAGCACTCAAGGATCTGAATGCCTCATGCAAAAGTAAGCCAATTGCCATATGTATTCATTTAAGTTTAGCTTCAGCTTAGCTGTACAACCTTAAGTACGACAAGCTAGCTGAGAAGAGGATTCTGAGTCTGACACACAACATATTGTTGCACACCACCCCAATTTCTGAGCGGTGCGAGATTTCCAGGGGTTCCAGGCGCTTCCCCAAGGTTTGGTTTCCTTGGAATGAGGGACAGTGGAAACTGTGGTGTCTTTAGGATATCTGGTTTATTTACACGTATATACAACCTTAGCCTACGATGGAAGGGCTCACAGCATTAACACTGCAAACAGTCTTGCTTCTCCCAGCCACAGCGTTGGATTCAAGCAGAGATCAAGCATGGCTCTCTCTGATTCCAACCCAGGTTTGACACACAACTCTGCCTACCGTCTTTCTCACTACCAGTCAGGTGTGTGTGGGGGGCACCCATTTGCCCTCTGGCACAGGGCAATCTCCTGTTATACTAATGACCATACTTATATGGTACTTAGGTGGCAACTACGACCCTTGCTGGACTAATTTAACAATGGAATTCGTTATTAGCTTTTAACCCTTGCTGGATCCAGGGGATCAGAAGGGGCTCAAGCATCATACAGACTGACCCACCCCAGCAAAAAAAAAAAAAAAGCCCAGTCACAACACTATGTTCATAACTTATTATGAACCCATGCAGAGCCCATGTTATACCTTCACTAGAGCATCAACCAGATAGTCCTTGGAAAAGGGGATGTATCTCTCCCGATAGTCCACCGTCCAGTTCTCTGGCTCCACTGGTCTCCGCATCTTCCGGTATTTCACCATCTTGGCGACGAGGGAGGCCTTGCCACGGGATGGCAACCCTACAACCCCAGCCCCTAAGGCTAACCGCGCTGTGCACAGCATTCTAGGAAAGTTCAAGGTTTACCAGTCAGGCATGTTCAGCTTCCTTTCCAAAGGCTTTCAAAAACGACCCTAATTTGCAAGTGGGATACAGCGGGCATTAGCCAGTAACGGGCACATCTCTCTTCAAAGCAACAAAGTCAAAGACTTCCAAAGTCTTGGCCACACCATGGAGGCCAAAAACTGTCCCTGGACAGGGGAGGGAAGGCTCCTTGCGGTCAGAGCCTTGGCCAGAGCAGCCAGGTCAGAGGTCTTCTGCACAACAGTGCCACCACCACCTGTGCAAGTGGGCCTGGTCCAAATCAGATCAGCCAAACAGGAGGTGGGGTGAGGTCAAAGGTCACTGCCCCAAAACGCATTAAGTTGGCTGAACTGATGAGAATAGCGATGCTCTCACCAACTTACAGACTAAGCAGTGATTCCTTCCTCCTCCTGGAAGAAAAAGCCTTTGCATTCACTTTGGGCCCGTTTCAAACGGGGCGGAGGGCGGGAAGCCCACCATACAAGGGAGTAGGTTCCTAACCTCTGGGCTGACATTGGTCTTAGTGCGCACGCGCAAGCTTCTTTCCCGCCCTTCGTTCCTTATTTGTGCCCCGGGGGGCGGAGCATCCTTTCCCCCGCAAGCGCACTAGCGCCTTTGACTTCAGCTCTCCTGTACGTCAGGCGCTTGCTTAGCCGTTCAGCACTGTGCTCGCGAGTTTATGCTACAGATCTAGAAAATTGTAGAAGGGTATCATGCACAGGGTTAATTATGCACAGTTTAAAAACTGGTTTTTCACTCCCATTTCCTACATAGTTTATACAAGAGTTTCAGCATATCATTTCTGTGATTCAGAGCGACGCCTTTCTACGCCGGCAAAAGGCAGACTTCCCTTCATTTTTTAACTGCAAATTCGATCGTTTCATCACTCTAACCCTTTCTCTATAAACTCTATGTCCATGACAGAGTCACGGTCCACGTTGCGGACGGGCAAAAGAATACTTCAACTTCAGAAACACGCAGGCGCAGAGAATCGTTTTCTTTCTTTTTTTTTTTCCTCCCCTCTCCTTTGCTAAACTGAGCGTGCAACACGTACTCGTTCCTTTCCCCGCACCCGCCTCCACTTTTCGGGCTGTCGGTGCAAACTGCGCACGCGCAGCTTTGTCTGCCGTCTGCTCCAGCATACAGAATTGTAGGATCCTCGCGCACGCCGTCGCGCGCTCCTTTGGCGCCCCGCCCTATATCAACCGTTCTTTTCCAACTGCCTTGCTGAGGCGGCGGCTGTCCGACCAGTCAGGCTTCGAGTTCGCTCACACGCTCTATTTGCTTTCCCCACCCTCCGTGCGCGGGGGCGCAAAAGGCGGGAAAATAACCTCCAAGTCTAAGGGAGTTTCTGAAGGGGTGGGAGGTGAGGAAGAAAGTGAGGAAGAAAGTGGGTTTATTAAGGATTTTTTTTTACAAAAGAGGAACTGAGATGTGGTAATACAGCGAGTTCCTCATCAGTTTTTGAGGAGGCACAAGTGGTCAGTCCCGTGATGCCAAGGAGCATATTTTTTTATTCCTGTCAGAAAGGGCCATAATTGGGCTTTCATAATATCTCCTCACACCAATCCTGGATAATAGTTTAGGTTGAAAGATAGGCACTCTTGCACAGCAATCCTGCGAGATTAAGCAGGGATTTGAGCCCATGTCTCCTTATCTAAACCCAACACTCATTAAGCACCGCACTTGCTGGCTCCTGCTTTTGATGGAAATGGACTATCAATGAGTTTCATATTTACCAATGAACGTTTAAGATACAGGCCACTTTGTTACTTGCCCCACTACTGTGGTGAATGGGAAATGTCCAAGTAGATAAGTTCTGATTTTGATTTTAATGGTGAAGGGGAAAAGGTCAAAGGATACAGCCAGGTTCACACCAAACCTATTTTGATGAGAAACAGTGAGAAATAAACTGCAGGCATGCTCTTTATGGCGGGGGTCAGGGAATGTATCCATGCAACGTTTCGTTCTGTTTTTATAAGATGTGTGAAGCAGAAAATGTTTAAAAATACAGGAAAGTTAGAAGTCAAAACAATTCTCAAGTTTCGTTTACTTGCTTGGAAAATCAATAGATTAATTAGGTGCAGAAAACAAAGACAGAAACTGGGGGAACACTTGTCTGCCATACAAAACAAGTTCAATTTTTGATTGGTGCTAGTTTGGCTGTTGGTTCTTCATGATGGTGTGGTGTGCTGTGCAATAAACTATTGCCCATGATTTTACTGAATAATTTCAAGAAGCTTGCTCAGATTCATTTTGTAAAATATAACTTTGGGGTAAATTTGGAGAAATCTTATTCAAGCCCATAATGCTTGTACAATGCATGATTAGTTCCAGTATATTAGGCCTGGAGCACATACTAGATTGGTCTAATCCAAAATGTTCATAGCCTGTCCATAATTTAGGCAATTATTTAAAGAGTAATTATCTCAGAAGATTTGCTATATGATGCTTGTGGAATCAAAAGACAGCAAGTATCAAAGGTTGGAGTTCAATGTCTTGCTTTTCCAGGCAATTCCATCTGTGCAACACATCCACCCCCCATTCTTCTGCTTTGTGTTGTTCTGGGGATTCCCCCTAACTCCCCAGAACCAATTTTAGGGGGTGGAGGGGAGAGGAGAAGGGAAAGCCCTGTTGTGCAAGTGGAATCTCTTGCACAGGATTTCTGCTAAGGGCCTGGTTAGGTGAATCCTTCCCAAGATCTGTAATAAAACTCCATAGTTCTCATTGAAAAATCAAAATGCAAATTTCTCACTACTGCAGTTTCAGGGCAATATATATATATATATTGGCAATTAAATTAAATTTCGGTCAGTCTCATCCCAGTGCACTATTACTTATTGCTTCATTAAGGTTTCCCAACCTTATGGGCTTTTAAAAAAGCAAATGAAGCACTACCTGAACTGAACCACCCAATCAATTTAATCTTTACAAAACTTCAACTACATATCAGTTAAGATTATACATTTGCTTTGCAACTTTGTAAATTCTAATCTAAACAGATGTAGAGAAGAAATTTATTAAGTTAATTTTATTGGCTTTACAGTGCTTTTGGCATGACAGTGGTCAGATACTCACCTTAGAGTCTGGTGATTGGGCGAGACCCTTGTAGGTCTCGGAAAGATGCCTTGATAAACCGTACTACTTTTGAATTTTCAGGTGTTGGTAGAAACTTAGTAGTGTTTTCCTGCCTCATGCTTCTTTTCTAATCTATTTCATGTTTCCCAACTTTTGTTTCCCGCAGCTCTCAAAATCCAGCTTTGTTCTAGTGACAAAAAGGAAACTACAGAATGAGGAAAGTGATTACAACTTTGCGGGAATTCTCAGACCATGACCTGGTGCACTTCTTCATAAGACCTCAGATCATTGCTCGGATGCTGGCAGGGGTGAGAAAAAGTACAACAAAATAAAACACCAGTTCCATGACTTCTAAATTCAGGATCATATTTAGACATTGATTTGGTTTTGAATCAAAACAATCCCACCAGAATTACTTTCATTTTTTTCTATTACAAACTATGAAATTCCAAAGAACATATCTCAGTAGAACATGCATTGTTTGGACATCACCAGACACTTTCAGGGGCATTTGTGCAAAGGTTGCCCTATACCTGTGGAATATGCAAGTGTAAAATGCACCAACACCAACTTGCACTCACACACACACGCCATCCATCTACACAAAAGATGTACACAATTTCTGTTACCAACTAAGACCCAGTTCTTTGGTTTTATAAGCAGGGCAGCTTTTCCTAACCCCATGGCTAGATTGTCTCTACATGGACGAGCTTCTGCAAGTTTGAATGAAGCACTGAACTCAAGTGTCTCACAGCTCTCACATTGATAGGAGCAGGAGAGCTCCTGATATTATTTTCTGTCTCATTGAATCTCAGTTTAGCATGAGGTATGAATCAGGATTCCTAATTTCAAACACACTCTGGTCAATTTCTAAATAAGCTAACTTCAAACCATAGGTTATGAAGCTGATTTACTAAACTAGCTGGGGTTTGTTTCAAATCAGAATTCCTAATTTGTACACAACACTAAGCCAAGATTCAGTGAAACTGATACTAAACTTGGCAGCTCTCTCCTCAGCTGTGGGGGAGTCTGGTTTTTCACTCAGGTTTGCTAAGTCTCATTCAAGTTGCACTAAACCATGCAAATGTAGACCATGTTCTTCCATCAACCTCATTTACCGTACAATTTCCATTATATGAACCAGAGTTATGTACCAGTTGTGTTCCCATGGGCGTAGGCAGGTTTTTTTTGGGGGGGCAGGACTTTTGGGGGGGCAGAACTGACGTGATTGGTCAGTTAGTTAAGTATTTCTATTGTTTTATTTGATAGGGGGAGCAGCTGCCCCCCTTGGCTAAGCCTATGTGTGTTCCCCATGATAGTTTTGGTTTGTGTAAGGAGTTTATACAAATCTCTGACTTTTTTATATTTTCCATGCTATTAGTAAGAGTGATGTTGGTACTACTTACATTGCTATTTTGTTTTTTTTAATAGTAACCAGCCCCTAGCATCTAGGCAGTGTAGTATGTTTTGGATTTGTCTCTAAATTCAAAAGCTTTTTATGATCAGCATGATTATTTTCCAAAAATGTAAGCAAAAACTGCCCAAGTCTGCTAAGAACCTGAGACTTTCACTTGAGATATATGGGCCATGGTTAGGAAGAGCAGAGAACTAGACTTACTCATTTTCATCTCAATGTATACACTATGGGATTTAATTATTGGAGAGGACACAAAGACAAGAAGGGTTGATTGTAAATATAGGCAAGTGTTTTAAATGAGACATAATATGGTATCTCAACAACTATCATACTTAACTCTTTCTTGCTTTCGCCCTTCCCAGGTTTTATCCCTGACTATATTTGCCTCCTTGGTGACTGAAGGTTATCAGAACCTGACAAATTCTTCCCAACTACATTGTGTTTTGAATGATAATGGGACAGCCTGCTGCTACGGCATCACAGTTGGCATACTCGCTTTCCTCCATTGTCTTCTCTTTTTGGGTTTTGATGTCTATGAACCTTCCATTACAACTCACAAATTCAAATATACCATCCTTGTCCTGGATGTCACCTTCTCCAGTGAGTTGACTTCCTTTTTTCCAAAGCCATGGGATAGAGTTTTGATATATGTGATTAGTAGATTGTGAAGCCCTGACACAACCAGATGCAAAGCCAGCATAATCGTATATTCTAACCCCTGTTGTGTCCCAAAACTAGTTTACATCACTGTAGCTATTATTTACTATACCTCCTACCACCACTTCTTGTTGTGTCTCAGAAAACCAACCAGCAGTTTCCCCAATGTATCAGCCTCAGTTGCTTTTCCGTTTATCCCACTGCAGCTCTTTGCCAGTTGATAGTGTTTGGTACTCTGCTTTATCTGTCCCAACGGCCAAGGTGGTGGAGCCAAAGTGACAGACTTAATTATAAGATGCCATTCTGAAGGCACTGTAGCTTGTTTCCTATATAAATCAACTCAGTTATTGAAATCTGCTCCAGAGACCCTGCTTTGGGTCCCCTTGCTGTTAACAGTGCAGAGGGAGGGGGCTTATCTAAGACCTCCTTAGTGTGGAGGAAAAGAAAAGAAACCTAAGATCCAAATTATTCTATATTCACTTTTATCAATATGTAGTATGTATCATTATGTACATACAGATTTTCCGTAAGAAGCAGAAGCTATCCATGGGTGGGTTACTCCTTCCATTTTCTGGGTAGACAAGGCTATATAAATACCTTCAAGCTTATTTGTTTGGTGAGAGGAGATCTACCATTTATGGTCCTGTCTGCTTTGCAGTGATGAACTTCCAGATGGTTGCTGTTTTGCAGTGGGATTCACTTGGCATATCTACAAATTCAGTTTGTGCAAGTAAAATGGATTTTGTGCTCTTATGCAGTAAACCTGCTTTTGAAAAAAATCCAAAACTTTCTGGGTTAATGGAAGTGATGGGAAAACAAACGGAAAAATATGAGGTAACAGTTGCTTGATACAGCGCTATAACCTCCCTGCAAACAAATCAAAATGAATGCTCAATAAACCGGACTTTGTGTAACATCTCCACAAACGTTATGCAAACAAATCAGGATGAATTATCAATAACTAATTCATCTATAAGCAACCTCTGGCAGGGAGTGCTAATCACCAGTGGTTAATAACCAGCTGCTCAGAAAAGTTACCTCAGAATACTGAAAGCTAAAGCTCTGCAGTCTTCAAGAACTAGGTTGGAGCAGTATTAGCTGATTGTCAAGGGCATGGAAATATGGCTAGTGGAGGTCCAACAATATTTATTAGTCAGTTTTTCTTACCAAATGCAACTCAAAGCAACTTACAACCAAATAAACAGAAACACACAAGATATACATTAAACAAAAAAGTATGTTAAAACAACACATTAAAAATACCCCACTACCACAGTTGTCTTATATTCCTTTCCCCATCTCTTTAATAACAGTCCCTCACATATGTGCCTTACCCTAGCAGCATTTTTTGCACAGGTTTCCACCTTTCCCCACTCCCACACAGAATTATCAGAATCACATGTCAAAGCTTAACTACATCTGCAGGAGATTGAGGTGTTGAGGTACTCTGCCATCATATTCAGGTAGGGAAGGGGAGGAGTACCTCTGTGAAACCCTAGAGAGCTGCTAGTAGAAATCCTGAGCTGGATAAATAAATGGTCTTAGTGGGTGGGGAAACCTAAGGCCAGGGAGCCAAATCCAGGCCACAACCCTCACTGGCCCTGTTCTGCACCCTCAAGTGTTTTTGTCTGGCTGGAATGTGCGTTTCTGTGAACCTATAGTGCTTTTCACTTGCCTGGGTGATGGGTAGAGAGGCGTGTATATGTGTAAATAGTTGACTTGTGTGTGGTTGAAATGTAGCCTATTGTACAAAGGCAAGGGAAGAGTCGCATATGTTACTCTGGCCACTTTTTGCCTTTGTCCCCACTCACAACTGGTCCCAAAGGTTGCCCATGAGGGAATGTGGCTATTGTACTACAAAAGGTTCCTGTAAAATATGTGAAAGAATCCATGCTGCTGATGGGCACACTGACTGCCTTCTTCTACAATACTGATTGAGTATTGTATTGCCTTCTTGTACCTCTGCCTGTTGTTTCATTTCTTGATGAGCGAATCCCTGTGCTGGGGAGTTCACAAAAGACAACAGACAAAACATGGAGACAGACAAGGAAACAATAAGAAAATACCAGTTCCATACAAAATGCTGTCATTTCCACATGCTGTCTTATCTGTTGCTGTCAGACTTATTGGACAAGCACGATCACAGAAAATGAGTGCTTCAAGTAGGGCAATGAGTTGGCATTATATATCTGAATAAAACATTTTTCAGGCCCTGGCTTTTGGCAACTCATCAGTGCTCAATACAGCTCCAGAAATGCCACTCAGCCATCTCATCTGGTTTTTTTGCCTTCCATCTGTACTGCCTGTCAAAGATCTCCACACCTTCTGTCAGATTAAGCTATTGAGTACATTGCCTTCCCACCCCACTGGGTATTCATTTTAGGCCCTCTTTATCCCTAGAAAATATATTGGTTAAATTAATTACTTTTGCCCTATATGTTGTTCTGTGCCAGTACAAATCTAGCATAGTTTCTTTATCTCAGAACCAAAGAATAAAGTTGAGTTCACTGAAATGGAAAGGTATAGTTAAACCACATCAAAAGGAAATACATTTTACTATGTAAACATAAAATCCAGCAAAAGAAAGGTCAGATGTTTCGGTGATTTCCTCAGGAGTGCAATAGATAATACTACCAAATTTGTGAGGAAAAGCAATACATTCTTTTGCCTCTGTGTTTAAAGCCATATCTCTAATAATTAAAGATTAGTAGAGGCCAGATTATCCCACACCTGCCCTATTTTGGGGCTCTTGCCTCTAAAACATCTGGCACAAGTCTTATTTGAGATAGGATGTTTGGCTGGCTGGACCATAAACAAAGCTGATGCAATCTGGCAGCTTTCCTTTTCTCCCTTATTGTTCATCAGCTACAAAGGCAAAAGCTCCTTTTAATACACCTGTCAATTGTGCAGTGTTTGTTTTAGGGAATGATTGCCCTTCTGATCCCTGAAGGCAGTTGGTTTATCCATGAATGCAGGAGCTTTTATTAAATTTAGATTTTGCTGACTTAGTTCTGAAGCTGCTATAATGCTGCTGCTGCTGCAGTTTAGAGCCACCTTCTCAATTTCTCACTATGAGATTGGTCAGGTTTTGGAATGTAACAAGAGCCCAGCTGGAACAAATAAAAGGCCCATCTAATCCAGCACCCTGTTCTCACAGTAGCCAGCCTATGGGAATCCCACAAGCAGGATATGAGTGCAGCTGTGCTCTCCAGCAGCTGATATTCAGAGGCATGCTGCCCCTGATAATGCATGTAATTCAGTTGCCATGGCTAATAGCCGTTGATAGAGGTCTTAAAAGGTAAAGGGACCCCTGACCATTAGGTCCAGTCGTGGCTGACTCTGGGGTTGCGGCGCTCATCTCGCTTTATTGGCCGAGGGAGCCGGCGTACAGCTTCCGGGTCATGTGGCCAGCCTGACTAAGCCGCTTCTGGCGAACCAGAGCAGCGCACGGAAATGCCGTTTACCTTCCTGCTGGAGCGGTACCTATTTATCTACTTGCACTTTGACGTGCTTTCGAACTGCTAGGTTGGCAGGAGCAGGGACCAAACAACGGGAGCTCACCCTGTCGTGGGGATTTGAACCACCGACCTTCTGATCGGCAAATCCTAGGCTCTGTGGTTTAACCCACAGCGCCACCTGCGATAGAGGTCTAACTTGTCATTAATTTGTCTAAACCTCTTCAAAAGCCATTGAAGTTGGTGGCCATTGCTACATTTTGTGGTAGTGAAGCACACTATGAGATATGTAAAAAAATACTTCCTTTTGTTTGTCCTGCTGAATCTTCCAACATTCAGTTTCATTGGATGACTTTAGGTTCTGATATTATGGGGTCAGGGACTTCTCTCTATCCACTTTCTTCATGTAATGCATAATTTTATACATCTCTATCATGTCCCCCATACCTTTTTAAAACTGAACAGCCTCAAAAAATGTAACTTTTCCTTATAGGAGAGTTTTTCCAGCCTCATGATAGTTTTGGTTGCCCAAAGCTTTTCCAGCACTGGAATATACCTTTTGAAGTGCACCAAGCAGAACTGTACATAATATTCAGAGTGTGGTCACACTTGTATCACAGCACTACATGTAATATTTATGATTTTATTTTCAATCCCTTTCCTAATGATCCCCAACATGGAATGCGCCTTTTTCACAGCTACTGAATACTGAGGTGACATTTTCATTGAGCTGTTCATCATCACTCTGAAGATCTCTTTACTGGTCAGTTACCAGTCACCACTAATTCAGTTTCCATCAATCTTTATGTGAAGTAAGGATTTTTGTCCCAGTGTGCATCACTTAAACTACTTTACTTTGAATTGCCATGGTAATATTTATTTAGTTACTATTTTATTTATTACATTTATATACCACCTTTTTCTTCCAGGGAGCTCAAAGTGGTGAACATGGCTCTCCTCCCCATTTCATCCTCACAACAACCCTGTGAGGTAGGTTAGGTTGAGAGTCAGTGGCTGGCCCAAGGTTACCCAGTGAGCTTCATGGCTGAGTGGGGATTTTAACCCTGCTATCCCAGGTCATAGCCCTACACTTTAACTACAATACCATTCACAGAATTTGGAGAGATGATTTTGGAGCTCCTTATACTGTAATCCATTTTTGCTCTTACTACTCTGAACATTTGGGTGTCATCAGCAAATGGGGCCACCTCACTGCTAGCCTCTAACTGCAGTTCATTTATGAATAAGTTGAAAAGCATCAGTCCCAGTATAACTTTTTGGGGACCCTACTTTATACATCCCTTCAATGATAGAACTATCCATTTATTCCTGCTCTCCATGTCATGTTCCTACTGATCCAAACAGGTCTTACAGTCTGCTTATTGCTAAGCTTACTTGGTGAGGGACTTTAACAAAAGGTTAACAGTTTTGTGTGTTGTTTTGGTTTTACAATCAAGCAATATATAATTTTTTATGAAATTACATAAATAAAGACATATAATCTCTATCCATGCTTATTGACATTTTTAAAGAACTCTAAAATGTTGGTTAGAGGGAACTTACATTTATGAAAGCCATGCTGGTTCTTCTTGGGCAACATTTGTTTTTATATGCTTCTATCTTTAATAATATTTTCTACCAGTTTTTCTGGAAAAAACGTTAGCCTAACCACTCTGTAATTTCCCTGGTCCTCTCTGGATTCCTTTTTTAAAAATTGGGGTTACATTGCCCATTTCTCAGGGTTGCCATATGTCCTCTTTTCCCAGGATATGCCCTCTTTTTTATGAGTAGAGTCGTCATAGTGAGCCATAGTTAAAAATAGAAGTTGGCAAATGTGTCCTTTTTTTGCTCTTCAAAATGTGGCAACCCTACATTTGCTATATTTTACAGCAAATATATCCAGAGAGAAGAACTTTTATCAGTTAGGAAGAACAGAGCAGTACGGTGAACACCAGAGGCTACTGAACCTTATATTATCTTATTCACCAGTTAGCACAAAAAGTCCTGCTCTAAAATGAAGCTTCATTTGAGTTTTTAACTGTTTGTATCACATTCTAACCTCTTATTTTCTCCTCAGTTATCTGGACATGCCTGTGGTTTGTTGGGTTCTGCTTCCTAGCCAATCAGTGGATCAGATCAACAAGCCACTACCTGCTGGGAACTGGTGCTGCCCGAACCAGCATCACCTTTGCCGTCCTCTCCGTTCCATGCTGGGTGAGTCAGTCAAGTACTCCCCTTTTATTTCAGAGTAACGAGAAAGCCTGCTGAGTCAACAACATAAGAGGGGTCCCTCCCTGCAGAGTGTCAATAGAAAAGACAAACCCATCTTATCAAAGCCAAAGTTGATCCCTTCCAAGAAGCAGGTGGCACATACCCTAGTTATTTAAGGAGAAGAGGGTGATGCCATAAGGGGCACTATTTTTCCTTCTATATAGTGAATGTTATCCCCCCCCCGAAATGTCGTATGATAAGCCTAATTCTCTTTAGCATGTACACACAATTTTTTAAATCAGAGAGTGTTTGATTATGAATCAAGAAACAGGCAGTGAAGCTACATTTTAGCTGGCATGAAGTGGCATATAACAAGACATAAAAGTCCTTTCTGGGGAGGAAAGGTAGGTGGCTAGTCAAAGTTCAGTTAATACTGAGAAAGTGAGCTCGGGGCAGAGTCAGGCCTAGGCCAGGCCAGTTGTCTTTTGCTAATTGCAGCCTCCAGTTGTGGGTCCTTGGCAGCGGAAGTGCTTCTCTGAGACAGGTGTGTCTGTCGTCCAAAGGTGTTCTCTGCAGTGGTTGCTGGTGTGTTTGGCATAAGGTAAAGGTGAAGGGGACCCCTGACCATTAGGTCCAGTCGTGGCCAACTCGGGTTGTGGCGCTCATCTCGCTTTATTGGTCGAGGGAGCTGGTGTACAGCTTCCGGGTCATGTGGCCAGCATGACTAAGCTGCTTCTGGCGAACCAGAGCAGCGCACGGAAACGCAGTTTACCTTCCCACCGGAGCAGTACCTATTTATCTACTTGCACTTTGACGTGCTTTTGAACTGCTAGGTTGGCAGGAGCAGGGACCAAGCAACGGGAACTCATCCCATCACGGGGATTCGAACAGCTGACCTGATCAGCAAACCCTAGTGTCAGAGCTGCCCCAGGTCCCAGCTCACAGAGGACCAACGCCAGTCCGTTGCTATATTAAATAGTCTTTATTGAAGTTCAGTTTCTCATTTACAGCCACGACGCGCAGCTCTACGTCTTAAACCTAGACCGCCGAAGCTCCGTCTGAGTCTCCTCCCCCCAGACACCAGTTTAAGACCCTAGCCTTGCTCCACCTCTTTCTCTGCTCCCTCTTCCTCTGGGTCCGCCTGTCCGCCGGGGTTTTCCCCTTTCTAGACTCTTCTGACGCTGACTCCCCCGAGTCTTCCCCCTCCCTCCGGTGGGCTTTAGGACCTGGTTCCCAATCCGGGCTTCCTGCTGTCCCGCGCGCCTGTACATTTGAACTTGGCGCGCGCGCCCAGCCTGCCACCTTCCTTCTGACCGTTATACTGCTCCTGTCGCTGCTCCCCTCTTCGGGGATGCTAGCTGGGCCTGACTCCTCCTCCCTGCTTGCCGGAGGAGACGCTGACTCTGACCTATGGGACTCTTCCCCCCCACTACGCTCCGGTGGGGAAGCTGGCCCTGATTTCCAGCTACTGCTCTGGGAGTCTCCGCTGGCCCCCTGCTTCTGGTGTGTCCCCCCTGGACCCCCCTTGCCCTGGCCATCGGCGCCCCCTTCTGGGAATCTTCTGATTCACTGGAGAGGCTCATGGAATCTCTCGGGTCACTGTCATTCTGCCCTCCGCTGCCCTCAGATTCTTCCCCTTCGCTCTCCGTTTACTCTCTCCCCTGCGCCTCTGCTCCTGAGCCCCTGACACCTAGGCTCTGTGGTTTAACCCACAGTGCCACCCACGTCCCTTAGTGTTTGGCATATGGCATATGGCATTTGACATATGGCAGTGTAAAATGTGTGAGAATGTTGTACATAGTACTTCCTGGAGTGCAAGGCCTAATCCCTTTAAGCATATACAGGTATACTAAAGCTGCATTAATGCAAACTAGTGCTGTATTACTGTTTAAATGCACTCAGTTTAGAGTTTGTGCATTAGAATGGCTGCCAAATTGATTTACGGTGGCAGAAGAACATTTCAAATCATTCCCAGGAAATGAGAGAAAAAAGAGTGTTGGTCTAACGTCAGCTTTTGGTAACATTGACATTTTTAGAACCATACAGTAGGCAATTCAGATTAGCAGTTTATTGACTGGACTAGCAAATGGAAGAAACAAGACAAATAGATTGTTAGCAAAGTTAATCCAAGAAAAAAATCTTGAAGCAAAAAAAATATTAGGATTATGCAGGTCAGAAAGTTCCAAGTTTCTGCCACTGGCCGTCAAGGCAATGTAAAGAAGCTAATCTTTCCTGACATTTCCTCCTTCAGAATCGTATGGTTAGAGATGGAGTACTTAATTACAAGTGTTGCTAATAGAAACCCATTGCTGAATATGGCTAGAGTAGCTGGTGAATTATAGCCATAGCAGCAGTAGCACCATTTTCTTTTAACTCTTAGTTGATAGCAAGATTTACTGTTTCAATCCAGCTTTGGGGTTAAATGCACCATAAGTTGGCCATAAAATTAAAATACCTTGGAATAGCATTAAGCATGGCACCACTTGCAAGTAATAAATAAATAAATAAAACCTTCATTGAAAACCTTCATTTTTCAAATAAGTAATATAGTTTAAAAAAATCAGGATCAAGAATGAACTTCAGTGTACAGTGCATAATACCTACAAGAAAGGAGTGTGTGTGGTCTATTTGACCCCACAGTTGTTGGTTTTTTAAATGTTCCATTAGCATACAGTTATGTTAGTATAATACAATACTGCAATAATGAGTTGTTAATTATCTGCAACAACAAATTTTGCAGAAGGTGCAACTGTAGCTCACACAACCTATATATTTACCACATTTTACAACTGCATGGTCTAGATAAAATCATGAAGCACACGATTTCTGCAATTTTCTGTCATTACTTCAATCACAGAGGTGGCATCTGCCCCTTTTGTGGGTGTCAGCCATAGCAAACCATATCAGATCTGAAGCTGCCTTTCTTTGAATAGTCCCAGGCAAGCTGGCTATGTTTCTTGATTCAATCACGGTTTGTTAAACTCCAGGCCCAAGTCTACTACAAAGCTACATCTTTCATCCCATCCACTGCATTGTTGGTTGTTCAATTGCTAAAGAATGCAGGCATTTAAATGGGCATTATCTTCTGTATTTGAAGGGAACACTATTGGCCACAATTTGATTATGATTTTTAATGTTAAATGCAGCCCATCTGGTTATACCAAGACTTGTCTTAGGATTTGATTTGTTGTCTGAGATAGCTGTATCTATGGATTTAAGAAAGGTGGATCACTGTCATTCCTTTACTTGGCAGATAACTTACAAATGTCAAATCTTTTGGAAAACCAAAAATGCTGCTGTTGATATTTCTTGATTTATGGACAAGGAATAGAACCCTGCATAAGTAGGGATTCCCCTGTATGTGTGAAGGGATATGGAATTGGCCACACACATCACCTTATATAATCTCAAGCACACAAATGTGTCTCAGTGCATGGGAGAAAACTTGGTTTGCAACTTTTCTGCAGAATGCAGTTTTCACAATTAACAGTGTTGTATGAGCAAGGTGCTACCTTAATGCCATTTGCCTGTTCCTTGCTCTGAAGTATGTGTGTGCTTGTCAAAGAAGAAGAATTATTGTAATAGACAGTTATTGACTCACACTTGCGTTCATGAAAGGGTTAACCTGAGCTCAAGTTGCCAGTATGGGTTGAGCTTAGCCCCATTCCTTTCCTCAACTTTCTCTTTCTGCTTTCTGGAACAAGCAAGAAGCTATGTGACCCATGGTTCCCAGTTGCAAGAAAAACCAAGTGAACAGAATCTCTCTAAAAATGGATTTATAAAGCCTGCATCTTTCAAATATACCGGTAACCAAGTTTTAATGTGCTTTGAGCAATTGCCATTGTGTTCACTCTGCTACAAGACAGTATGGATCTCTCTTCCAAATCTCTATCTCTTAACAGAAACCCTCTGCCCCAACCAATGTTCATCACTATCTGAGAATGGGCCATCTGAATGGACCCACTACCCTTACAGGGGGAAATTGCTGCTACCAGTCCAGCTTCATCAAATAATGGTTCAACCATGGCAAGGGAGTGCACTGCACCCCCTCCTACCTTCAGACCATCCCTCAAATCACATGGGGGAAAGACAACATCAAGGGTGCGTCCTGTCCAGTATGTTGGACCAATGGTCATTTGAAACAGCCCCATGGTTGAGGCCACGAAGTCCCATGCCAGCTCAACAGTAGCCTTTGCTTGGATGTTGAAGTCACTCAGAAGTATTCTCTAGGGGGTCCTCCAAAAACGTGGATCTAGAAAACTTGGTATTTGTGGCCCTAGAAGATTAGGAGAAATATCATAGGCAACTAATCCTTCCAAAAGATATATAGTAAGTATATGTACATATAATAACTAAAATTATGATGCAGGTAGAACAGTTTGGGTCACTTTGATTAGGAAACAGTTCCTTGCTGCTAGTATCTGAAGTTGCTGGTTCATAATTAAGGGAATCCAGCCCATACTCTAAGCCTAATATAGTTTACATAAGGGGTGCCTAGTATTTAAAGCACATAAAGAGAAAAGAAAGCTCTTGCCTACTCTGCTTTAGTCCTGAGGACTCAATACATTTCTACCAATTTTAGTAGTGAAGAAAACTGCCTCAGGACTGAGCTCTTTGGTGCATGTTTATTCCTTCATTCCTTGTGGAACTGAGTGACTCACACTTCCCATCAACAAGCTGTAGAATTAATCAGGAGGAGCCTTCATATAGAAGCAGTTGCAGCAGGCCTTCATTTACAATCTGGCACAGAATGAGCCCAAGCAATTCAAGACCCAGTCCAGCCTGCGGCTGGAGTTTGTTAGATCTGGAAGGCTGAGCAGCTAACAAAGATTTTAACTCCAGCAGGGACCATTGGTAATGTCTAACCTGACCCCCTGTCAAGCATAGGGCAATTGAATTCCCTCTGCTAACCGTAGCAACCCACTAAGTAGAATTTGCAGAAAGCACACCTTTGACCAAAGTCGTATTTTACAACTGCAATGAGAAACTGGAGGATTTGCAGT